CACTTGACTAATCTTAGTCCTAAAAAAATCTCAGTTTTATGACACGTCTGGTTTATGCTGTAGATTAACAGGATTGGGGTTCTCCATGAAGTAAACAAAACAACAGGCAGAAACAAACAAGTCACGTGGAAATCCAAATCTATAGGGAATGCAATTGCATTGCATCTTCTGCATCAAGTCAAATATCTAAGAAAATTTAACATTTTCTTCTAACTGATCTTAAGGCTTTTGTGGTTTGGGTCGGGGGAGGGTTTGTGAGTTTTTTTGTTTGGGTTGGGGTTTTTTACGTTTTTGGCTAGTAATGTTGCTCTCTGAATCTTTACAATAATTTGGTAGCTACTAGTGGATGTAGTGAGGATGGTAACAGCAGACAAAGCATCTAGTAAGTGTATTTGCATGCAGTTTATTCCTTTAAGTATGTGTGACCAGGTGGGAAAAGCTGCTTGACAAAGACAAGATACTCTGTGGGCAAGAAGTATTTGCTCTTGCTTTCCTTTAAAGGAAGGAATTTGTTTCCGAGAGCTAACTAAACTGCTATAAACCTCTTTAAATGTTAAGCCAGGTGAGGTGCTCAGTATGAGAGAGACAGTTTATATGATTAGCTCTTCAGCTGAATTTTGTTTTTTTTCAGTTTTGGGTGAGGATTGTCATGATTGATCATCACGGCAAGGCACAACCTGCTAAATCCTGTCCTTATTTCTGCTGTGGACACTGCATGCTCCAATACTGTCGCTCTAATGCATTCTGAAAATTTGACGAACAACAGCTTCAGTGTACTCTGCTTGATGGAAGGTACGAGGCAAACTCAGTGTATGCAGCAGGTTATAATTCTAGTGTCAAATGATGAAAATACAGAGTTTAATATTTAAAAGCTTATTAAGAGGCGTTTCAGCTCTGTATTTGGCTGTACTGGGGTCTGCATTAGCGCCTGTAAGTTACCTGTAAAATGGGAGCAATGACGTGGTCAAATTAATGCCTGAATGGGTGTTTTCTTGAGCATTTACAAATGCTTTTCACCTTTTTTTTTTTTTAATGACAAGATTTGTTTTAAGTGTAGATTGTCTTTCCTGAGGATTTGTAACTTAACCAGGTACTCAGGAACACCGGAATTTAGCCAGTTGCAAATTCCTCTGTTGAGATGGGTTCTCTTACTACGGGACATCTGACTCGGGCAATGCAAATACCATGCAGGTTTTTCGCACTCTGCTGATGACGTTTATTCTGGCCCCTGGTAAGCCATGCAAAGTCTGTGCTTTTAGCATGATATTTACTTGCAAGTTCTTCATTGTGGTGTTGGTACATGCGGACAGAACTGGAAAACAGAAGGGCTTACTGGTGTGCTCTCGTTGCCTGCCAAAGCCTTAGCGCACGTGGTCTGCGCTCTGAGATACAGGCAGATCGAATCCGTGGTGGCTGGGTGAAAGAAGCGTTTGCCTGAAGCGTCCGGCCCCTTTAAGGGGCGGGGTCAGCGTCTGGGCCGGGCGCGGTGCGAGCTGCAGAGGCAAGCGTGGGGTAAGCGGTCCCGGCGCGACGGTGAGGGGCGGCGGGAGGAAGCATGGGCATATGTCTGATGCCACTGAACTTGTTAAATTTGCTTCCATTTTTCTTTGCATTCAAAAGGTCCATATGTAATTTCTATGGGTTTTGCTGCTTATGGATGCATTGTAGCAAGGATTTACCCCTGGAAGGTGTTTCACTTTCGAAATGTCTCCTGCTTTGCTCTGGTTTCCAAGAGGGACTGTGAGTAGTAAGGTTACTACAGTTGGTTTTCCCCTTCCGTTCCGCAGTATGTGGTGTTATTGCTTTAAGAAACTATGCAAAAAGCAGAACACCGATTCACTGGAACAGCAGTTCTATGGCAATTTTGATTGGTAACATGGTTATTTAGCCTTGCCATGCCAATTTTGCAGTAATGACCCTTACTGGAAAAGGAAATTAGATGACTCATATCAAGTAATTCACTATTAATTTAATTGTGAATCACTTGAGTGTTTAAGGAGGTGGAGTGATTGAGAGCATCTGTATCAAAGTTACAGGAGAAAGTTCTGTAGTTGGGGCAGCTGCTGTCAGTCCTAAATGGAAAGAAAACTTCCAATTGACTATGTAGACAGTTCACAGAATCATAGAATCATAGAATAGTTAGGGTTGGAAAGGCTCTTAAGATCATGAAGTTCCACCGCCGCCTGTTCACAAGCAGTATTACTGAATACAGGTAACAGCCTGAGTTCAAACCCGTATTAAATGCACTAGTTGGCATGATAGCTGCTGGGATGTATCAGCAAGTACTAACGACTGCTACTCAAACTATACAACTATTAAAAAACCAACCTACCTGTGGCAAAGGTGGTGGGCAGCTGGCTGCAAAAGGGCAGAGGAATCCTGCTTGATGAACTTAAAGGGTCAGACTGGGAAAGGCACGGTGGAAAAAACTTCTATAGCAGTCATACTCTCTTGAGAGAACTACGAGGAACTTAATAACAGAACAATTCATAACAATGTTTCACACAGCCTGATCCCTACAATAAACACTTGGCACAATTTTAGAATGAGACTGCTTTTGCAAAGATGAGATGATTTTAGTTTCAATCACTTCTATTGCATTTAAGTAGAAAGGAAATGTGCTGCGTGGATCAAAACTAGAATCAAGGTTGCCATTACCTGAGGTTTGAGTCAACATGTAAAGATTAGCTTTTATTTTTGAACAAAGTTTTCTCTACCACTTTACAAAAACTGATTTAGTGTTCACTGCGCCGCGTGTTGGGAGTTTGGGCCCGGCGTTGCGAGCGGGAGCGGTCTCGCACCCTCAGAGGCAAGTGGATCTTGAGGCCCCTCCTCTTTTTGGTGCTCTGGCGCCACGGGATGATGCTGATGCCCGCTGTCGTGTTGTGCTGCGGCTGTGGCTCCCACGTGCTGGTGAGCGCTGGGACAGCCTGGGCGCAGCCAGTCTGCGGGGGCTCCTCCCAGCTCGAGCTGCTGGTGTGCGGCTGCCGTGGGAGCATCTTCTGGGCCGTGCACAGGGAGCCTGGGCCCAGCGTTGTGAGCGGGAGACGTCTCACGCCCGCACAGGCCCGGTGCATTTGAGGCCCCTCCTCTTTTTGGTGCTCTGGCGCCATGGGATGATGCTGATGCCCGCTGTTGTGTTGTGCTGCGGCTGCGGCTCCCACGTGCTGGTGAGCGCTGGGACAGCCTGGGCGCAGCCAGTCTGCGGGGGCTCCTCCCAGCTCGAGCTGCTGGTGTGCGGCTGCCCTGGGAGCGTCTTCTGGGCCGTGCACAGGGAGATCGGGCCCGACGCTGCGAGCGAGAGCGGTCTTGCACCCGCAGAGGCCTGGTGGATTTTGAGGCCCCTCCTCTTTTTGGTGCTCTGGCGCCACGGGATGATGCTGATGCCCGCTGTCGTGTTGTGCTGCGGCTGCGGCTCGCACGTGCTGGTGAGCGCTGGGACAGCCTGGGCGCAGCCAGTCTGCGGGGGCTCCTCCAAGCTCGAGCTGCTGGGTGTGCGGCTGCCCTGGCAGAATTTCTGGGCCGTGCACAGGGAGATCGGGCCCGACGCTGCGAGCGGGAGCGGGTCTCGCCCCCGCATGGTCCCACTGGCTCTGTTGCTCCGGCTTCTTTGCACTCGTGCAGAGCCACGGGATGCCGCCGATGGCCGCTGCCTGGTGGTGCTGCGGCTGCGGGTCTCATGTGATGGGGAGCATCGGGACAGCCTTGGCACCGCCTGGCTGCGGGTATTGCTTGCAGCGCGTCTTGCTGGAGGTCGGCTTCTCCCCTGCAGCCTTCTAAGCCATGTGTAGGGTGTCTGGGTCTGATGGGTGCACTGGGTTTGGTGTTGCCGTTGGTCAGGCCCAGGGTGGCTGGAGGGGCTGCTGCCCTCACACACTGGGCAACTGATGGGTCCTGATGACACCTCTCTGCTGCTGCTGGGGCTGCTGGTCTCCTGTGCTGGAGGTCCAAGAGTCACAAAGCACCACAGTATGTTAGAGATTGGAAGGGACCTCAAAAGATCATCTAGTCCAATCCCCCTGCCGGAGCAGGAACACCTAGATAAGGTTACACAGGAACGTGTCCAGGCGGGTTTTGAATGTCTCCAGAGAAGGAGACTCCACAACCTCCCTGGGCAGCCTGTTCCAGTGTTCCGTCACCCTCACTGAGAAAGGTTTCTTCTCAAGTTTAAGTGAACCTCTTGTGTTCCAGTTTGTACCCATTTCCCCTTGTCCTATCATTGTTTGCCACTGAGAAGAGCCTGGCTCCATCCTCGTGACGCTCCCCCTTGATATATTTATATACACTAATAAGGTCACCCCTCAGTCTCCCCCAAACTATAGAGACCCAGACTATAGTCTGCCCTGATGCTGCTCGGCTGGTAGTGCCGGGGCTGCTGGACTCCAGTTCCAGAGATCCAGAAGACTGCCCCAGTGCTGCTGGGCCGGCAGGGCTGGGACCAGCAAGCTGTGAGCTGGCACTGGAGGCTACAAGAGGAAGCAGGAACACTAAGGGCTTGTCTCCCATGCCTGGGGCAGGGTAGGCCAGAGCGGTGCCCCAGCCCTCCTGGAGCAGACAGCCTCTGCCAAACCCACACCAGGCACCCCCTGCCAGGCCTTGCCTGGGCCCTGTCCCCAGCCCAGGAGCACCCGGGGGCTTTGACACTTACAGGTGTCCAGGCCAGCACAGCTGTCACACTCCCATCTGATCTCATAGCTGTTCTTCAGGCTGGGACACCTGCTGTGAGTGCCCACAGCAGCGCAGGAGCAGCACAGCAACAGCTCCCAGGGCCTGGGGAAAGAAATGGGTTCATGTCTCGGCAGGATAAGTGCCCACAGCACGGGATCGTCCAGCAGAGCTCTTGTTCTCAGCCCTTCTGCTTTGAGCTCTTGCTGAGACAGAGATCCCGTGCCCAGCCCCAGGGTGCAGCTTTGGCAGCTTACCCGATGGCTCTGCCACCTCTGCTGGACAAAGGCATCCTCCTGGCATCGCAGCTGCTGTGCCTCCGGTCAGGTTCTGCATATGCGTCGTTGCCCTCCCATGACAGAGGTCTGGTGGAGAAAGGAAAATTGATGAGCCCCTGTTACCCAGCATAAGGCACATGCACGGCCTCCCCGCTCTTCTCCCCACACCCTGTTTCCACCTCCTCCATGGAGCTAAAGCCTACACTTGGGGCCCAGCAGAGGGCCACAACAGCGGGGGCAGGTCCAGGCGTGGCACAGTGCTGGCCAGGAGGACACCAACCTTGTGGGGATTCGGATCCCCATGAAGAACATTTCCATTACAAACTGTCTCGTATCCAGGCACACAGGGCACTGCAAGCAGAAAGATCCAGCACGCAGAGCCATTCCCTGCAGGAGAAACAGAAAGAGCGTGAGTGAGGCTCTGGGGCTGCTGAGAGCCTGCCGTGCCCAGAGCAAGGGGACGGCTCCTACCTGGATGCAGGCCCTGTGGAACCAGGCATCTTTGCAGGCTGGGCACACCATGGTCCCATAGGTCGTTCTGCCTTCCACAGGCTCCACGCAGATGAGGCAGTTGGTGTTCTCTGGAGCCACAAGCTCTTGCTGCTGTGGGCGGTGCTCCCAGCAGAAGGAACTAGGGGAAGAGGGAAGGGACGGGTGAGATGGGAAGAGCTGAGTCCTTCCCTGGTGATGGGGAGAAGGGTAGAGGGGGTACCTGTATGGCAGGCAGTAACAGGTGACGCATCCACCCTCCACGGCACAGGGGAGATGGAACCTGCGGCCGCAGCCCAACTCCTCGCAGGTGATGGTGGCCCCCCTCTTGCCACACACGAAGCAGACCTGGAAAGAGCAGAGCAGCCCCCATCAGCGGCAGCCTCAGGGCCTCCACAACCAGACCCACACCTCAGGGCAGGGCGCAGGATGTGGCCCCGTCTGGATCACAGGCCACAGATCTGCCTGGCAGAGCAGGCTCCTGGCTCGGACCCTCTGTGGAGCTGCTGGGAGCAAGACTTCTGTCCCAGAGCTGGGTGGAAAGGCTGGGATTCTGTTCTTGGCACCTGCGCTAAGCTCCCACAAACCTCTCCTGGCACGAATCACCCTGATCATCTCAGATCCTCACCATCTGGGCTGCCAGCTGGGCTGTACGATAAACCTCTTTAGGACTAAATTCTATATCTCCTTCCCGATCGGTCCCTTTTGGACGAAGGTCGCTGGCAAAAAGCTGCAGAAGAGCAGAGACAAGGAGATGGTGAGGGGCATGTGGCAGGGCAGGTGCGTTGCAAAGATGAAACCATCCCCAAAGGAACTCACCAGGCAAAACTGATGAGCCCAGATCCATTGGTGCCTCAGTTTTGGCCCGCACCTGTCCGGATCTGCGTCTTCGCAGCGACACAACACGCATTCTGGGTGGGAGAGAGGAAATGCCACCGGGAATGAGCACCTCTGTGGGGCCAGGGATGCGTCCCTGAGGGATTGCCCTCAGGCAGGGCTGCTCTGTCGCTGCCTAGCTGGGTGCTGGGCAGGGCTGGAAGCCTTGGAGAGGAAAGGGCACTGCAGGCATGGGTGCCCCGGAGGGTGCGCACTGCCCAGCCCTGGTCCCGCTTGTCAAGGAGAGGAGGGGCCCTCCCCCAGGGTGACTTTGGAGCTCCTGCCTCCCCCTGCCAACGCTCCCGGTCCCATGCCCACAGCCTCAGGAGTCCCTCTGGAAGGCTGCAGGAGGGGGACTTTGCTCTCACCAAAGTCCATCGAGTCGGATGTCCTACACCTCCTTGGGGAGGTGTCAGAAATTGAAGGTGGGCAAACGCTCCAACCGCTCCTCTGCTACCTCTGAGGGAGAAGAGAGACGCGGGTGAGCTCTCAGCACAGGCCCAGAGCCCTGCGGTGTGGAGCCCCCTCCTCCCTCGGAGAGCCCTGTCCCAGCCCTCTGCTCCCCGCACCTCACCAGGTCGCACTGATGCTCACACTGTGCCCAGCCTCCCCTGTTTATAGGTCTGCCCCTGCCACCGGTCACAGTGGCCTCTGTGACATCAGCACCGCTGGCCCGTGTGCGCCCAAACAAGGGGAGGGGCACCCTCGGCCACACAGCACCCACTGTGACACGGACACTGCATCACAGGGCTGGCTGTGAAGCGCACAGGCAGGGACCCGGCTGCTCCACCTGCAAGGGACAGGAAGGGCCAGTCAGGCACACCAGTTTCCTGTGAACTTGGCAGTGGTTGCTCTACGGTTAAATTCATGACCTTTAGGGCCTTCTCCAATCTAAATGAGTTCTGTGACTCTCATTACCATTCTGCTATTACTTTATCACCATTTGCTTACGCTATGATTTTACTTCAGTTGCCTCGAACCACACCCAGGCTGGCCTCTAATGTCTCCAGGGATGGGGCATCTACCATCTCTCTGGGCAGCCTGTGCCAGGATTTTACCACCCTCACTGTAAAGAATTTCTCTCTCACCTCCAGCCTCAATCTTCCCTCTTTTAGTTTAAAAGCATTACACCTCATGCTATCGCAACAGGTCCTGATAAAAGAGTCTCTCCCCATCTTTCTTACAGGCCCCGTTTAAGAACTGAAAGGCTGCAATAAGGGCTCCTCGGAGTCTTGTCTTCTCCAGGCTCAAGAAACCCAACCCTCTCAGCCTTTCCTCAGAGGAGAGGTGCTCCATCCCTCTCATGGTTTCTGTGGCCCTCCTCTGGACTCTCTCCAACAGGTCCATGTCTTTGCTGTACAGAGGGCTCCAGAGCTGGACGCAGCACTGCGGGGGGGTTTTGCAAGAGCGGAGCAGAGGGGAAGAATCCCCTCCTCCCAACCGCTGGCCACTCTCCTTTGGATGCGGCCCAGGACAGGGCTGGTTTCTGGGCTGCAAGTGCACGCTGCTGGGTCATGTTGAGTTTTTAAGCAGGATTAGGGTTAGGGTTAGGGTTAAGGTCAGGGTTAGGGTTAGCGGGGGGGTGGGGTGGGGGGTGCTTATTTGCTTTTTTGTTTGTGTTGCGTTTTTGTTTTTGTTTTGTTTTTTTTTTAATTTCAGCAGCCTTATCTGTAATTATCTTGGTGTTGTGCTTAAAGGATGGAGCTTGTGGTCTTCCACAACTTTGTCATGTAGGAGAAAAAGCAGATGTGATCATGGGACTAACCAAATGAAGTCCTAAAAAAGGGGAAACCGCTCTTGATATCGTGTGCACCTGGCCTTTAATAAATGGGGTGGGAAGTGAGAAGTTTTCTTATTGCAATGGTTAGTGACTTTCAGGAATAATAGTTCAGCAGCTCTATTCTTGAGGTGGAACTCGATGAGGTTGTTAGGGTGGTTCACTGGCTTTGTGAAGTCATCAGGCTGCTTTTTGCAGGGTAGGATGAACCCCTCAGTAGCAGGTATGCCAAAACAGGTGGTCATTTCTGCCTTCCTCAGCCTTAGTCCTTGCACTGTGGTGGGTTGGGTGTGCACTGGACCTCTCCTGAGGTGATTGAGATCATTAACGCAGCAGAAATGCAGCTGGGGTGTCCTGGTTTCAGCTGCTGTAGTTAACCTGTGTTTCTAGGAGCTGTGCTCTGTTTTGGCATGTTGATAAGACACCAAAGATTAATTGTTGCTAAGTAGTGCCTACCCCGGTCAAGGACTTTTCAGTCTCTCATGCTCTGCCAGTGAGGAGGGGCGCAGGAAACCATAGGAAGCACAGCCAGGAGAGATGACTCAAACTAGCCATAGGGGTATTCCATACCACAGAATGTCAGGCTCAATATAGATACTGGGGGGGTGTTGGCCAGAGGAGGCCCATCACTGCTCAGGGATGTGCCGGGCATCAGTCAGCGGGTGATGAGACACTGTGCTGTGCATCACCTGGGGTTTTTGGTTTGTTTTATGCCTTTCTCTCTATTTCCTATTATTACTGTATTGGACCTTACTTCAACAATTAAAGCGGTTGCCAGACGGAGCGGAAGAGCTGATTTTACTCCAGCTCCTGTGATAATGAAGAATAATGCCTTTCAACAAGACTTAAGTGTCCAGCATTGCGATGACTATTAGAGGGGCCCTACCTCCAGCCAAGTGGAGATAGGGGACAATTGGATTTCCTGGACTGTGTGGATCAGATGTCCCACAGAAGTATAAGGCTCTAGTAGATACCCGTGCACAGTGTACCCTGATGCCATCAAGCTGTCAAGCGGTGGAACCCATCTATATTTCTGGAGTGACAGGAGGATCCCGAGAGTTGACTGTACTGGAGGCTGAAATCAGCCTGACTGGGAGGAACTGGCAAAAGCACCCCAGAGAGAATTGAGTCAGACAATGGGACTCATTTCCGAAATAACTTGATAGACACTTGGGCCAAAGAGCATGGCATTGGGTGGGCATATCACATCCCGTACCGTGCACCAGCCTCTGGGGAAACAGAACAGTACAATGGGCTATTAAAAACTACACTGAGAGCAATGGGTGGGGGAACTTTCAAGCATTGGGATACACACCTACCAAAGGCCACCTGGCTGGTCAACACCAGAGGATCTGCCAGCAGGGCTGGCCCAGCCCAGGCAGAACTTTTACATACTGTAGAGGGGGACAAAGTTCCCGAGGTGCACATGAAAAATTTGCTGGGGAAGACAGCCTGGGTTATTCCTGCCTCAGGTAAAGGCAAACCCACTCGTGGGATTGCTTTTGCTCAGGGACCCGGATATATTTGGTGGGTAATGCGGCAAGATGGGGGATTCCGATGTATACCTCAAGGGGATTTGATTGTAGGGGGAAACAGCCAATGAACTTAATTGTGGGCTGTTGCCTGCTATGTCATATTTTTATAGACCATCAGCTAGATGTCTTCAGGTCACCAGCGACTGGCCCTGACTTCCCTCTGACCACCATCCCAACAGAGAATGAACAGTTCTGGGGTAAAGGAACGATCAGCATCAGCAGGCAACGATCCAACACTGCACACAGCTTCTCCTGCCCCGAAAGACTGTCACAAGAGATGGAACCTGACATCATGGACCTAATGAACTCAGCAGCATTATAGGGATTGGTCCATGCACTAAGAAATGATCCCTTTCTCTCTGTCTGTGTGTGTGTAGGTGGATGTACATATGTAAGAGCAATGGTATATTGAAAATGTGGGGTCTGAGCATGACGTGAATGGAATGGAATAAGGGGTGGATACTGTCCTGGGTTTAGCAGTAGTGGTCATTTTTTTCTCCTTCTTAGTAGCTGGTGCAGCGCTGTGTTTTTGGCTTTCAGCCTGGGACCAGCACTGATAACACCGATGGTTTTAGTTACTGCTCAAATGTTTAGACTGGCCCCAGGACTTTGTGAGTCTCATGCTCTACCAGGGAGGAGGGGAAGCCGGGAGGAAGCAGAGACAGGACACCTGACCCAACCTGACCAAAGAGTTATTCCATACCACAGCACGTCATGCCAGGGATGTAACTGGGAGTTACTCGGAAGGGCAGCTCTCTGCTCAGTCAGGCTCGTTTCCGTGGGTGGTATTGTATTCTCTTCCCTTGTTATTTCTCTTACCGTTATTATTATTGGTGGTAGCAGCAGTGGTTTGTGTTATACCTCAGTTACTGGACTGCTCTTATCTCAACCTGTGGGAGTTCCATTCTTTCGATTCTCCTCCCCATCTCTCCGGGAGCGAGGCGGGGGAGTGTGGACTGCGTGGCCGACTTGTCGACAGAGTATAAACCATGACACCGTGCTTATCTCAACTCACATATTTTACTTTTGGGTTTTGGTTTGGTTTCTTTTTTTTTCCTTTGAATCACTTTAGCTATCATTTCCTTATTGGTGATACAGGAGAGAGGGTTGTCGGCTGGCATTGTATCTGCAGGGAGAAAACAACTGATGAACCAGGCACAAGCATGCATCAACACATTAGCAGAAGTACTACAGTATTGGTATGGGAGGAGTTTCTCCTCGCTTATATTTAATGAACCTCCACATTTAACCTCTTAGCACTTCTTTCTTTTTCTTTCTTTTTTTAACGTTGGCAGCCATATTCAGGTTTGTCTTGGTGCCAGAGAGTCAAGGCTCGGTTTTCAAATGGCAAAATCAGCTTAAATACTCCAAGAAATACCCTTTACTTTTTTCTGCAGGAACATGATTTGTTGTCTTTGCCTCTTCTTGTTTGCTTTCTCTGAACAAGTACACCTGAAGCAATTTGAGCTTCTCAAATTCAGTTGAGGAGCAAAGAGGTGTTAATGTCATAAGAAAGATAACGAGGAATAGAAACTAGGTGACTGCAGCATTTATCACTGAAACGGTAATGATATTCCTCCTAAAGAATCTTCTTAGGAAATGGTTTTTGCCTAAGCTTGGAGAAGTATTTTTATGTGAAAGTTGGAAGCTTTTAATGTGTCATTTCTACACTGCAGTCATTCAGGCTTGAGAGGGCAGAGAGAGAAAAAGGCAAGTATGTTAAGGAACGTATCAGCCCAATGCAATGCTGAAAATATGGGATGTCTCGTAAGAAATCCATCCTAGTACATGACTGTCTCCATTTCCTTAACTTACTGTCACTGATCAGTTGACATTTGCCACTTGACTAATCTTAGTCCTAAAAAAATCTCAGTTTTATGACACGTCTGGTTTATGCTGTAGATTAACAGGATTGGGGTTCTCCATGAAGTAAACAAAACAACAGGCAGAAACAAACAAGTCACGTGGAAATCCAAATCTATAGGGAATGCAATTGCATTGCATCTTCTGCATCAAGTCAAATATCTAAGAAAATTTAACATTTTCTTCTAACTGATCTTAAGGCTTTTGTGGTTTGGGTCGGGGGAGGGTTTGTGAGTTTTTTTGTTTGGGTTGGGGTTTTTTACGTTTTTGGCTAGTAATGTTGCTCTCTGAATCTTTACAATAATTTGGTAGCTACTAGTGGATGTAGTGAGGATGGTAACAGCAGACAAAGCATCTAGTAAGTGTATTTGCATGCAGTTTATTCCTTTAAGTATGTGTGACCAGGTGGGAAAAGCTGCTTGACAAAGACAAGATACTCTGTGGGCAAGAAGTATTTGCTCTTGCTTTCCTTTAAAGGAAGGAATTTGTTTCCGAGAGCTAACTAAACTGCTATAAACCTCTTTAAATGTTAAGCCAGGTGAGGTGCTCAGTATGAGAGAGACAGTTTATATGATTAGCTCTTCAGCTGAATTTTGTTTTTTTTCAGTTTTGGGTGAGGATTGTCATGATTGATCATCACGGCAAGGCACAACCTGCTAAATCCTGTCCTTATTTCTGCTGTGGACACTGCATGCTCCAATACTGTCGCTCTAATGCATTCTGAAAATTTGACGAACAACAGCTTCAGTGTACTCTGCTTGATGGAAGGTACGAGGCAAACTCAGTGTATGCAGCAGGTTATAATTCTAGTGTCAAATGATGAAAATACAGAGTTTAATATTTAAAAGCTTATTAAGAGGCGTTTCAGCTCTGTATTTGGCTGTACTGGGGTCTGCATTAGCGCCTGTAAGTTAGCTGTAAAATGGGAGCAATGACGTGGTCAAATTAATGCCTGAATGGGTGTTTTCTTGAGCATTTACAAATGCTTTTCACCTTTTTTTTTTTTTTAATGACAAGATTTGTTTTAAGTGTAGGTTGTCTTTCCTGAGGATTTGTAACTTAACCAGGTACTCAGGAACACCGGAATTTAGCCAGTTGCAAATTCCTCTGTTGAGATGGGTTCTCTTACTACGGGACATCTGACTCGGGCAATGCAAATACCATGCAGGTTTTTTCGGACTCTGCTGATGACGTTTATTCTGGCCCCTGGTAAGCCATGCAAAGTCTGTGCTTTTAGCATGATATTTACTTGCAAGTTCTTCATTGTGGTGTTGGTACATGCGGACAGAACTGGAAAACAGAAGGGCTTACTGGTGTGCTCTCGCTGCCTGCCAAAGCCTTAGCGCACGTGGTCTGCGCTCTGAGATACAGGCAGATCGAATCCGTGGTGGCTGGGTGAAAGAAGCGTTTGCCTGAAGTGTCTCGGCCCCTTTAAGGGGCGGGGTCAGCGTCTGGGCCGGGCGCGGTGCGAGCTGCAGAGGCAAGCGTGGGGTAAGCGGTCCCGGCGCGACGGTGAGGGGCGGCGGGAGGAAGCATGGGCATATGTCTGATGCCACTGAACTTGTTAAATTTGCTTCCATTTTTCTTTGCATTCAAAAGGTCCATACGTAATTTCTATGGGTTTTGCTGCTTATGGATGCATTGTAGCAAGGATTTACCCCTGGAAGGTGTTTCACTTTCGAAATGTCTCCTGCTTTGCTCTGGTTTCCAAGAGGGACTGTGAGTAGTAAGGTTATTACAGTTGGTTTTCCCCTTCCGTTCCGCAGTATGTGGTGTTATTGCTTTAAGAAACTATGCAAAAAGCAGAACACCGATTCACTGGAACAACAGTTCTATGGCAATTTTGATTGGTAACATGGTTATTTAGCCTTGCCATGCCAATTTTGCAGTAATGACCCTTACTGGAAAAGGAAATTAGATGACTCATATCAAGTAATTCACTATTAATTTAATTGTGAATCACTTGAGTGTTTAAGGAGGTGGAGTGATTGAGAGCATCTGTATCAAAGTTACAGGAGAAAGTTCTGTAGTTGGGGCAGCTGCTGTCAGTCCTAAATGGAAAGAAAACTTCCAATTGACTATGTAGACAGTTCACAGAATCATAGAATCATAGAATAGTTAGGGTTGGAAAGGCCCTTAAGATCATGAAGTTCCACCGCCGCCTGTTCACAAGCAGTATTACTGAATACAGGTAACAGCCTGAGTTCAAACCCGTATTAAATGCACTAGTTGGCATGATAGCTGCTGGGATGTATCAGCAAGTACTAACGACCGCTACTCAAACTATACAACTATTAAAAAACCAACCTACCTGTGGCAAAGGTGGTGGGCAGCTGGCTGCAAAAGGGCAGAGGAATCCTGCTTGATGAACTTAAAGGGTCAGACTGGGAAAGGCACGGTGGAAAAAACTTCTATAGCAGTCATACTCTCTTGAGAGAACTACGAGGAACTTAATAACAGAACAATTCATAACAATGTTTCACACAGCCTGATCCCTACAATAAACACTTGGCACAATTTTAGAATGAGACTGCTTTTGCAAAGATGAGATGATTTTAGTTTCAATCACTTCTATTGCATTTAAGTAGAAAGGAAATGTGCTGCGTGGATCAAAACTAGAATCAAGGTTGCCATTACCTGAGGTTTGAGTCAACATGTTAAAATTAGCTTTTATTTTTGAACAAAGTTTTTTCTACCACTTTACAAAAACTGATTTAGTGTTCACTGCGCCGCGTGTTGGGAGTTTGGGCCCGGCGTTGCGAGCGGGAGCGGTCTCGCACCCTCAGAGGCAAGTGGATCTTGAGGCCCCTCCTGTTTTTGGTGCTCTGGCGCCACGGGATGATGCTGATGCCCGCTGTCGTGTTGTGCTGCGGCTGCGGCTCCCACGTGCTGGTGAGCGCTGGGACAGCCTGGGCGCAGCCAGTCTGCGGGGGCTCCTCCGAGCTCGAGCTGCTGGTGTGCGGCTGCCGTGGGAGCATCTTCTGGGCCGTGCACAGGGAGCCTGGGCCCGGCGTTGTGAGCGGGAGACGTCTCACGCCCGCACAGGCCCGGTGCATTTGAGGCCCCTCCTCTTTTTGGTGCTCTGGCGCCACGGGATGATGCTGATGCCCGCTGTCGTGTTGTGCTGCGGCTGCGGCTCCCACGTGCTGGTGAGCGCTGGGACAGCCTGGGCGCAGCCAGTCTGCGGGGGCTCCTCCCAGCTCGAGCTGCTGGTGTGCGGCTGCCCTGGGAGCGTCTTCTGGGCCGTGCACAGGGAGATCGGGCCCGACGCTGCGAGCGAGAGCGGTCTTGCACCCGCAGAGGCCTGGTGGATTTTGAGGCCCCTCCTCTTTTTGGTGCTCTGGCGCCACGGGATGATGCTGATGCCCGCTGTCGTGTTGTGCTGCGGCTGCGGCTCGCACGTGCTGGTGAGCGCTGGGACAGCCTGGGCGCAGCCAGTCTGCGGGGGCTCTTCCCAGCTCGAGCTGCTGGTGTGCGGCTGCCCTGGGAGCGTCTTCTGGGCCGTGCACAGGGAGATCGGGCCCGACGCTGCGAGCGGGAGCGGTCTCGCCCCCGCATGGTCCCACTGGCTCGGTTGCTCCGGCTTCTTTGCACTCGTGCAGAGCCACGGGATGCCGCCGATGGCCGCTGCCTGGTGGTGCTGCGGCTGCGGGTCTTACGAGATGGGGAGCATCGGGACAGCCTTGGCACCGCCTGGCTGCGGGTATTGCTCCCAGCGCGTGTTGCTGGAGGTCGGCTTCTCTCCTGCAGCCTTCTACACCACGTGTAGGGTGTCTGGGTCTGACGGGTGCACCAGGTTTGGTATTGCTGTAGGTCAGGCCCAGGGTGGCTGGAGGGGCTGCTGCCCTCCCACACTGGGCAACTGATGGGTCCTGGTGACACCTCTCTGCTGCTGCTGGGGCTGCTGGTCTCCTGTGCTGGAGGTCCAAGAGTCACAGTATCACAGTATGTTAGAGATTGGAAGGGACCTCAAAAGATCATCTAGTCCAATCCCCCTGCCGGAGCAGAAACACCTAGATAAGGTTACACAGGAACGTGTCCAGGCGGGTTTTGAATGTCTCCAGAGAAGGAGACTCCACAACCTCCCTGGGCAGCCTGTTCCAGTGTTCCGTCACCCTCACTGAGAAGAAGTTTCTTCTCAAGTTTAAGTGGAACCTCTTGTGTTCCAGTTTGTACCCATTTCCCCTTGTCCTATCATTGTTTGCCACTGAGAAGAGCCTGGCTCCATCCTCGTGACGCTCCCCCTTGATATATTTATATACACTAATAAGGTCACCCCTCAGTCTCCCCCAAACTATAGAGACCCAGACTATAGTCTGCCCTGATGCTGCTCGGCTGGTAGTGCCGGGGCTGCTGGACTCCAGTTCCAGAGATCCAGAAGACTGCCCCAGTGCTGCTGGGCCGGCAGGGCTGGGACCAGCAAGCTGTGAGCTGGCACTGGAGGCTACAAGAGGAAGCAGGAACACTAAGGGCTTGTCTCCCATGCCTGGGGCAGGGTAGGCCAGAGCGGTGCCCCAGCCCTCCTGGAGCAGACAGCCTCTGCCAAGCCCACACCAGGCACCCCCTGCCAGGCCTTGCCTGGGCCCTGTCCCCAGCCCAGGAGCACCCGGGGGCTTTGACACTTACAGGTGTCCAGGCCAGCACAGCTGTCACACTCCCATCTGATCTCATAGCTGTTCCTCAGGCTGGAGCACTGTCTGTGAGTGCCCACAGCAGCGCAGGAGCAGCACAGCAACAGCTCCCAGGGCCTGGGGAAAGAAATGGGTTCATGTCTCTAAGGATAAAGTGCCCACAGCACGGGATCGTCCAGCAGAGCTCTTGTTCTCAGCCCTTCTGCTTTGAGCTCTTGCTGAGACAGAGATCCCGTGCCCAGCCCCAGGGTGCAGCTTTGGCAGCTTACCCGTATGGCTCTGCCACCTCTCTGCCTGCTGGACAAAGGCACTCCCTGGCATCGCAGCTGCTGTGCCTCCGGTCAGGTTCTGCATATGCGTCGTTGCCCTCCCATGACAGAGGTCTGGTGGAGAAAGGAAAATTGATGAGCCCCTGTTACCCAGCATAAGGCACATGCACGGCCTCCCCGCTCTTCTCCCCACACCCTGTTTCCACCTCCTCCATGGAGCTAAAGCCTACACTTGGGGGTCAGCGGAGGGCCACAACAGCGGGGGCAGGTCCAGGCGTGGCACAGTGCTGGCCAGGAGGACACCAACCTTGTGGGGATTCGGATCCCCATGAAGAACATTTCCATTACAAACTGTCTCGTATTCAGGCACACAGGGCACTGCAAGCAGAAAGATCCAGCACGCAGAGCCATTCCCTGCAGGAGAAACAGAAAGAGCGTGAGTGAGGCTCTGGGGCTGCTGAGAGCCTGCCGTGCCCAGAGCAAGGGGACGGCTCCTACCTGGATGCAGGCCCTGTGGAACCAGGCATTTTTGCAGGCTGGGCACACCATGGTCCCATAGGTCGTTCTGCCTTCCACAGGCTCCGCGCAGATGAGGCAGTTGGTGTTCTCTGGAGCCACAAGCTCTTGCTGCTGTGGGCGGTGCTCCCAGCAGAAGGAACTAGGGGAAGAGGGAAGGGACGGGTGAGATGGGAAGAGCTGAGTCCTTCCCTGGTGATGGGGAGAAGGGTAGAGGGGGTACCTGTATGGCAGGCAGTAACAGGTGACGCATCCACCCTCCACGGCACAGGGGAGATGGAACCTGCGGCCGCAGCCCAACTTCTCGCAGGTGATGGTGGCCCCCCTCTTGCCACACACGAAGCAGACCTGGAAAGAGCAGAGCAGCCCCCATCAGCGGCAGCCTCAGGGCCTCCACAACCAGACCCACACCTCGGGGCAGGGCGCAGGATGTGGCCCCGTCTGGATCACAGGCCACAGATCTGCCTGGCAGAGCAGGCTCCTGGCTCGGACCCTCTGTGGAGCTGCTGGGAGCAAGACTTCTGTCCCAGAGCTGGGTGGAAAGGCTGGGATTCTGTTCTTGGCACCTGCGCTAAGCTCCCACAAACCTCTCCTGGCACGAATCACCCTGATCATCTCAGATCCTCACCATCTGGGCTGCCAGCTGGGCTGTACGATAAACCTCTTCAGGACTAAATTCTATCTCTTCTTCCCGATCGGTCACTTGTGGATGAAGGTCGCTGGCAAAATGCTGCAGAAGAGCAGAGACAAGGAGATGGTGAGGGGCATGTGGCAGGGCAGGTGCGTTGCAAAG